GAAGGAAGGAAGGAAGGAAGGAAGGAAGGAAGGAAGGAAGGAAGGAAGGAAGGAAGGAAGGAAGGAAGGAAGACAAGCAGAGGAAAAGGGAAAAAAGGAAAAGAGAAGGAAATTAAAAGAGAAAAGGAAGAAAAACAGGAAGGAAGGGAGGAAGGGAGAAGGAAGGGAGGGAGATAAATAGAGAACAAAAAGATAAAAAAGCAAAAGAGAAGGAAATTATAAGAAAGAGGGTGGAAGAAAAAAGGAAGGAAGGAAGACAAGCAGAGGAAAAGATAAAAAGGAAAAGAGAAGGAAATTAAAAGAGAGAGGGAAGAAAAACAGGAAGGAAGGGAGGGAGGAAGAAGGAAGGGAGGGAGATAGAGGAGAGAACGAGAAGAGAAAAAAAGGAAAAGAGAAGGAAATTAAAAGAGAGATAATGGAATAAAAAAGGAAGGAAGGAAGACAAGCAGAGGGAAAGAGAAAAAAGGAAAAGAGAGGGAAATTAAAAGAGAGAGGGGAGAAAAACAGGAAGGAAGGGAAGGAGGGAGGGAGATAAGCAGAGGAAGGAAGGAAAAAAGCAAAAGAGAAGGAAATTAAAAGGAAGAGAACGAAGGAAGAAAAACAGGGAGGGAGGAAGCGAGGGAGAGAAAGGGGAAGGGGAAGAGGGGGGAAAACAGGAACGAAACAAAAAGGTAAGAAGAAGGAAGATGGGAAAGGAAAGACAGTGAGAGAGGAGGGAGGGAGGAGGGAAAGAAGGAGGGAGGGAGGGAAAGGAAAGAACAGGAAGAAAAGCAATGAAATAAAAAGGGAAGGAAGGAAGGAAGGAAGGAAGGAAGGAAGGAAGGAAGGAAGGAAGGAAGGAAGGAAGGAAGGAAGGAAGGAAGGAAGGAATCTGGAAGCATTCTCGGCATGAAGCCTTTCCTTGTTTATTGACTATCAACCTGGGCACCCCCAACTCCCACCGAAGGCTATTCCTCATGCATTTTTTTGGTGGGGGGGAGACTGTAGGATTCATACGAAATGCTCTGCCCCTCAAGGAAATAGGAGGCTGCGCTTGCCCCCCCCCAAATTAAAATTAAAATAAAAGTCAAATCCATTATTGGAAAACCGAGAGGAACCAAGAACAGGGTCTCCTGCTTTGCCCATCCTGGTTTCTCTTCACCCTGGCTTGCGACAGGAGACCCGGCCGAGTGGGGCTGGCCAGGCCAGGGTCAAGTCCGGTGGGCTTCGAACCCTGCCCGCCAAGCATCAAATCGCACCCCCCCTCCCCATTTAAGGCCCTTTCTTGCAAGTTGCACTCCCAGAATGACGACGAAAAAGAATTCAACAAGGAGTGGAGGTTTTTTGGGGGGTGGGTGGGAGATAAAAACAATGCCCGTTTTTCCAGGGGGGAAGAAAAGTTCCAGGCAGGCCAGAGGCAATCCAAACAGCCCCCCCCTCCAAGGACTGGTTGCAGCATTGGGGGTGGGGGGCTGCAAAATGAATGCAATCCCCCCCCCACCGCACGCCCTTTAGGAATTGGCTTTTCCTTTGCAAAGGGTGGAAATTGAAAGCAGGAAAAGTGGCTTTGGGGGGGGGGGAGATTAAAAAAACAAGCCAAACAGGGAGGAAAAAAAGGGGGGGGGAAACAGGCCTGTTTCTCTGGGCAAGGCCTCGCAACCGCTAGCAACTGTCCCCATGGCAACAGCGCTAACAGCTGCTCCTTGCCAAGGGAGGGAGGGGGGGGCAAGCGGCTGCCACCCAGCGAAATGGTGGATGTCACATCGGGGCTGGAGACCCCGGACGCGGGGGCCCTCTACCCCCCTCAGCAGACCCAGCTCATGGTCTACAAGGTAGGCTAAGGGGGTGGGGGTGGGATGGGGGGGTGGGAGGCATGGGGAGGGCAGAGGGACCCTTCCCCTCCCTGAACTTTTAAGTCCCCCCCCCCACAACTTCCTTGCTTTCCAAAGCGGAGCGAAAGGATGGGTTTGCCCGTTTCTCTTGGCAGGGAGACATTTGAAGCCCCTTCCCCAAAAACTTTCATCTTAAGACCTCCCTTCCCCACCATAAACAAAAGGAAAGAAGCTTTGGGGGGGGCTTACCCCCAAAACTAGCCAGCTTCCTAAAACTAGCCAGCTTCCTAAACCTGGCCAGCTTCCTAAAAGTAGCCAGCTTCCTAAAACTAGCCAGCTTCCTAAA